CAGCCTTAAATTAATCTTTCATTCTGATTAGAATGGACAATTGTATACAAAGTGCCTGCCAAGAAAATATGCAGATGTATCTACTCTGAACACTGCAGTTTTATATAGAGATATCAAAGACAGTTTGATTGCTGAAAGTAGCAGTAGTAGAAAGAATCCATGTGAACTAGTTATTGCTTTTAGCCCTGTGAGCGATTCCATAGTATACTGAATTGTAACATGCAGATGCTTTAGCTGCTTTCAGGTGTATTGCTGTGATTTCCAAGAGCTGTCAGGTAGATCTGAGACACAGAATTTAAATGGCGACTCATAATAGTTTTGCCTAGAATATTAAGTGAATTGAATTATACCATCACTAAAACAGTCAAAAGGTCTGTCAACTTTACAGAAGTAAGTTCAGCTGAAGTTCTGAGCGGTGGATTCTGCTTGGCCCAGTATATTAATCTTTGCAGTATAAGAAAGTTCTTTATAATAATAGTATTCAGCTCAAAGTATGGCAAGAACTTTTCCAGTTCATGTCTCCTTACATGCAATCGAACTTCGTAGATTAATTGGGAAATACTATAGTGGTACAAATAGGGTTAAAGCAATACTAGAGCAGGCAAATTAGAAATTTATGCTATCCTTTACCTCTAACTTGAAGCCCAAAGTAGGTGACCTAAGCTACTAGAACGTCTATCAAGGGCAACTGTGAAGTGATCTTGTGAAGTACACACCTGTCCTGTTAAATAAAGGAAGCTTTCATGTTGTGGTTAATATGGCTTCATAATGTGGCTAGAATAGAGATACTGATGCCTTCAAAATGATGCTGTTCTCCTGCTCTTTTAATGTATTTTTACGCTGACCACTTGTGCAGTAGAGGTGGTATTGGTCTATACCTCAAAGACAGTAAGGTCTCCTCCCAGGACGAATGACGTAGGTGGAAAATCCAGGCTTTGGACTGAAATTCTAGAAATGTAGTGTAATGAAATGTAATGTAATGTAAGTTTATTGGTGGGTAATGGAAATATGAACCATGTTTCATTTGACCTTCATTAACCTTGTTGAAACAAGCTCCTTCTTCCGTGTGGGCTATAATCAGTTCTGCTGTTTGTGGTTCTTTGTTAAGCCAGAGTTGTTTGTTTAGTCAGCTGTGAAAAGGGACCAAGAGACTAGCTTCTTACAGGCAAGGTGTGAATGTGAGTCTCTCATACACCTCCATTTCGAAACAAAACCCAGTTTTTTTAGAGACTCTTCAACGGAACGTCAGGAGAGCCAAGCCGCAGTGAGGTAGAGAATGAGTCAACAGTACAAGAGATTGTTTTCCTTCTCTTTTTGGCCTACCTTAAATTCTACCACTCCCCCAGAAATATAGGTGGTGTTTTTTTCTGTTATAAGACAACTAAAATAGGGTGGGTTTTTTTCAGTAAACCCTCAAGAAAACAAATCTCTATTGGTTTACCCTAATGCACTTAAGTACAGCCGCCTTGGAAAGTTTAGTGCTGGCCTCACTGAGGTACTGTATAGTAAAAATGATGTTTGACTCCGCTGGGATTTTAGAGCAGGATAGTAATGCATATTGATTTCCTTGCTTTAAAACACACATCTTTTTGGTAGTAAAGACATACCCCAGTTTCTGTCCCAGCTGAGAGCAAACCCCATAGCAAATGGAACCATTTGTTATGCCTCATGGAAGTATAAAGCACTCCCTAGTGTAGGATAAAGATGGGTGAATGCCCCATCTGTTTCTCCATTTGTTCAAAAATCTAGGTAAGAATGTTTTAAAAGATAAACTATTAATTGTCATGTTTCTCAATAATTTATAAAAAGGTTGAATGTATGACAGAATGTGGGAGAGGAAGGTGTTTTTCTTTTTCTTTTCTTTCTTTTTTTTTTTTCACACCTTTAAGCTACCAGGAAGGGTAATTCTCTCAGAACTTTGCTGGAGGAGTCATTGGAGACCTCACATGTTCAGTTTGAACTTCTTCTGCCCTGAAGAAAGGGTGAGACCAGTTTTCTCCTGAGTGTTTTTCAGTACTCAAGTTAAAATCAAAACCAAACAGTGTGAATAAAACTCACCTTCCCTCTCATTAATCAGGATTCATTTGCACAGACTTTTCTGATGGCAGAATTCCCACTCTTCTTCTGTCTAGAAGTCTAGACACTCCAAGAAGTTACCTAGAAAAGGGTGAAAAGAGATAAATTTCTAACGTGACACAAATGGGAAACTTCCCTGTTTTACTTTCTAGAGACATATACATCACCTGATCTTTACAATTAAAAAGGAGGAACAAGAACAAAACGTAGCCTTCCTCACCTTCTTTCGTAGCCCATTATTAATAACAGTACTTTTTTCTATAGGATTCTCACATGTCCTTCATTATACTGAGAGAACTGTACAAGATTAGCTTGATTTATCATTGACATTGTTCCCTGACCTTAAAGAAATGCTGTCTTTTATTCTACCCCACAGAAGAACACTGAACAAATTTCTAAAAGGTGGGTGAAATAGTTGCCATAGCCTCAAGGCAGCAACAACGTAAATGCTAACAAGTTATTCTGGTTTTACACGTCTATTCACCTTTATATAGATTCTACCACCTCTGTGTCTCATACTACATGTGTTAATGCTCAGAAAGTTCTTTTGGGCCCTATAAACAGTCCCATAATATACTTGAATGTAAACTGAAATAGTTTCCTCTAATTCTCTATTGCTTTTTTTATAAGCATACTCATGCTCTGCACAACATTTACATAGGGCCCAGTTTTGCCACCCATACACAGTCTCCCATTTTATAACCTTCTCTTTTTTTTTTTTTTTTTAAATTTAGTACAATAGCTTGAATTGTGACAATTGCCTATTCAGTTTCAGGGGAAGTAAAAAACGCCATCTCCTTCTGCAAGACCAACCCACATCTTGAATCCATATGTTTGTGTGTGTAGGAAAATTGAAGCTGATTTGCACCATGAGCAAATTAAGGCAGGAAGGGTTACAAGAGTGATAGGAAGGGCAAGGAGTGATTGAATCTATAGCTGTGGCCTTAGGAATGACTGAAGGGATGCAAAACACAGGGAGTAGAGGCTGTATTTTATTATGACCCACTATATTGCATGTTTCCCTCTTTCCCAAGTCAGAAACCTCGGAGCCATAGTTCTTGTCAGGAATATTTTTACCTGAGACTGAAAAATAAATTTACAATCCAGGACAATATTTGCTTAAAACCAGGTGGACTAAGAAACTTTCCAGAAAAAAGAAACAGCTTTTGGGAGCTAAATTATATTTTCCTCAAAGCTTATGCAGATACAGACTGGCTCTTATCAAAGTCGAAGGAGTAATGCCCACTGATTTGAGTAATCAAACATTTTATCCAGAAGTGAGAAGATCAGTACCAGCTACTCACCACCACTAAATCCCAGAGTGCTTGACACAGGTGCATCCAGCGTGCTTCCCTCAGGGCCACAGAGCACCAGGCAAGCTGTTGGCATCCGGGTGCTCTGGAGTAGGGCAATATTATTGATTATAAGAATTACAGAATAATGTAAGTAAAATAAATATAAGTGTTTTCAGCACTGGGGACAATCTGATATTGTCCTTTACTTGTAACAGGGCATATGCTGTTACAATTTTGGGTATAAATACGCAAACATCAAGGAAAGATAGTTTAGGAAAAACACAGGAGCAGAATATAGTACATTAATAGCAGTAGAGAGAGACAAGAAGGAAAAACAAGCTGGAAGATGGATAAGGTGGACAGCAAGTGATAAGCAGAAAACAGATTGTATCCTGCCTGATAAATTTTCCTTAAAAGCTAGTACAGAAAACTCAATGAACAGTTCCAGAAGAAAAATATATATATTCCACACTTGTTTCTTCAGAATATGGTTAACTAATGAGCAGGCTATTAGTTCAGCTTCCCTTTTTTTTTTTTTTTTAATCTACTCATTTAATTGGAAGGGTATACATCAACATATATAAATTCATGGCTGCATTTTCAGACCTTATTTTTAAATATAAATCAGCACTTAAAAGTAAGTAGAATTTACATGAAAAGATAAATGCATAAAGGGTTGCACCGAGCAGCAACTGCAGAGGGAAATTAGAGTCTTACTGACAGTCATTGTAGCCAACTCTAAGGCTCTGGTACCTCTGAGCTGTTGTAGTTTGTGCACACACAAGCACAGGCTGAAGAGGGGCGCTTAAAAGTTTAATCAAATAATACATTCAGACAGGTATGCTAGATATTAGAAACGTAAGTTAGGAAAGATAACAGGAATGAATTCAGACCACTATGCTAGATCCAAATATCTCAGCAGAAACCCACCTCTTAATGATTCTGCACTAGATTTTAGCATAAAAAGGGGCAGATCTATTGAGCCTAATCTATCGAGCCAGATCTATTGAGTAGATCTATTGAGCCTAATCTTGCTCTCCCTTACACAAAGCAAATTATCAGTCGGTAGAAGTCGGTAAAGCCTGGACAGCTAGGAGTCTCTGTAAGACAGAGGTGGCCATTCCCAATCCAAGTTTCACAATGCAAGAGTGAAAGCAAAAACAGCAAAGAAAGCAAAAAATGTCAAGATTTGTTTTTTTTATGTTTATGTAAAATTGATAATACAAATACAACCGTATTTTTGTATGCAGTGCCTCTCAGCTCTATTAATAATTTGATCATTATTTTCAAACCTAGCTAATTCATAATACATCATTAAAACAATGCCCAATTTTCTAAACAAATATTCTCCTTTTTTTTTGTTGTTGACATTTTGAATTCCTGCTTTTCCCTATGGTATATGTAAGATGAGTTTGCCTTTCAGCAGACTCTTAAGGTGAAGTAAAACAAATACTTTACCATCAGATAAAAGTCTTGGAAATGAAGCTTCTGAGGGTATCCCAGTTTTAACTGAGATGCTTTTCTTCCCCCAATTCCTTTGCTCCAACAGAAGAACTGGCATACGAAGTTAGAATGGCAGAATCATAGAAGTCAGGCTGGCGGGAGGTCCGTTGTTGAAGGGAAGGGATACTGCTGCAACTGCGTGTACCCAAATGGAGTGGTTTCACTTAAAATTGCATTTAATAAGAAAACGAAAACTGTGACCGCTCTAGTATAGGCAAGCCCTTTATCTATCTTTGTTTCAGCTTACATTTGAGTGGTGAGTAGGACAGTGCTTCATCTCAGAGGGATGCTGTGTTCTTGCATGAACTCAGGTTCGCAAATGCTGTTTGGAAGTATATGTGAGTGCAAGTATCTTCATAGGACCTTACGCTGCCTGAGACAGGCATGTGCAACCCAGACCTTCATGAAACTTGCCCTTTCTTATTCATTCCTGCAGATCTACCAAGCTGGAGGCTTCATTCACTTATTTGGGCCTCCATAAAAGCAGCCTTGTGGAAACACTCCTTCCTTTCAGGCAAATGCATGTGCGCACACACACACACACACACACGCACAAACTTCTCTACATTCTCACAGGTTGTCTTCTCTGGATTTGACAACAAAATGATATGATCAGGAATACTAAAATTCAGAATGGAGCATATAGCTACTCTTTAAGGGTTTTTGCAAGTAAAGTAAGATGAAGACAACGTGGTTTTTTTTTAGTTTAAGAAATAAAAGGAGAAAATGCTTCTCTACAATTCTATCACTACAGCTTTTTCTGAGAAAAAAGAGAACTCAACATAAAATTGATCTGCTGCTCTCAAAATGAACATGAAGAAAAGTATAAGGAAATGATTATTACTCTGTTCCTTGGTTTTGGTGGATCTGGGACTGAACATCGATTAATTCCAAGCTAAGGCTATGAATTAGGTTCAGGGTATGTGTTTTTAAACGAGGTATGTTTGTGTATTATGTCTGTGTTTGCTGATGTGTGTAAAAATATATATATAAGAATTAATTTATGGTTGTGAACCTTCAAATTATATTGAAGGTAATGCCATGACTTTTTTTTTGGTTGATAAATCTGATAAATGCTTTGTTGCTTTCTTTTACAGGGATTTTTTAGCCTTAGTAAAAGAAAATATCAAGCAAAGTTAATATATCTCTTACCAGAAAGATTTAGACAATCTGTGTCTTTGCAAGCAATCAGGAAGCTTCCATTGAAGCTCACCCTTATGGGAGGCAAGCTGTTTAGAATTTCATGGAACTGCACAAAAGAAAGAGATAAAAAGTAATTATATTCTATTTAGTGACCAAATTCCAAGTGCAAATCTTCACGTGGTTCTAGCTGGCAAGTAAGTCTTTCTAGCTAGGCTACTCATTACTGATACAACAGTAAAAATAAACAGTAATGAGTGGAAATGTAGACTATAATTGAAATTGTATGATATCTGTGAACCTTGCAGCTGCTTTTACTCCCAATCAAGTCCAAGTTCGTCTTGGACTGTGATTTGCTCAACTAAGAGTCCATAAGACTAGAAAAAAAAAGTGATCTCTGCTTTATCTTGAAAGTTACAGAACAAACAGCTTGAACGATAGATAGCACAGTCTTACTCTAAGTTTGAAGCTGATTTTGTGAACACTATAGTGCTGAAATTAGAGTAGCAACGCCATTTTATTTGATATGTTTTTAATCTGATGATATCACTTTGTTACAACAATTCTTTGTGTGTGTGTATATATATATATATATATATATACACACACATATTGCATATTGTTTTCAATATTTTCACTTCAGGGTAATTTCAGTATCAGGCTCCTTCAAGCTCTAGAAGGAAAATAAGTGAATAAACATACAAAATACATCACTATAAGCATATAAAAACACTGCATCTATTCTTATCACAGAGAGATCAAACTAAATTTGTTGGCATATAGAAATAGAAAACACTGGAATCAGAGTTTCAATAGATCATGTAAAAAAAAAGTTGATTTTTCATCTAATCTTTCTTTCAAAAGCATTTATTTTTTGATATTATATATAATGGTTATTTTGAATTCAAAGTTTTACTTAAAAATGGTAAATTTAAACACTATAAATTCAAGTGTACTTTCAGTTCCACTTTTGGTACATTTATGAAAAAACTGTGCTTACCTCACATATCTCGGTTATGCTTTTTTCAATCTTTCATGGCTGACAGAGTTAGAGATGTAATTTATCTAAGCCAGAGTTAGATTGTTATTGTCCTTAAAAAAAAAAAAGAAAACTTAGGGCTAAACAGCTAATTCTATTCTAAGGCTAAGTATAGAAATTATTTTAAAAAGAGGAATCCTATGTACATGACTCAAAATATTTCGGGTTGACTCTTTCACAAATTTGTATCCTTTATTACAAAATTTCGATTTAATTTGAATGAAATGTTTAATAGCCTTGAAAATGGAAGCACTAAAGAACTTGATACAGAAAATACAAAACAATGTAATCTATCTTAATAATAGTCCATCTTCATATTTCTCCTCTTTATCATGAAAAGAAGGGGAAAAAAAACAGCAACATATACACACAGCCAAATGCATAGAGGAATTAAAAGCAACTGCAGCTTGTAAAAATATTGCCAGTCACAAATTTGCCATGACATAATGCAGAGGAAACTATAGTTTGAAGCCAAGGCTGTCAAGTCTGATTTTGGAAGTCTCAAACTGCGTAGTTAAACTTAGACACGTTACGGAGATATTCAAGGAGGATGGCTAAGGGGCATACAGGAACTACTTCGTTCCTGTTATCTTTCCTAACTTACGTTTCTAATATCAGCATTAAAGCAAATGCTGACACTAGTGAGAAAAAATCAGCACTATAGAATTCAGTAAAAAGGAGGAAGTGTGGTATGTGTGTGTGGTACGGGGGTGCAGCAAGTATATGCTACCTGGCATTGAGTTTTCACATCGTGACTTCAGGGGGGGAAGGGAAGGAGGAGGGGGGAGGGGGAGGAGAAAAGAGCAAGCAAGAAAGAGAACTTCCCTCTCACTTACTAGCATTGACAGACAAAGTAGGAATACTTGATTTAAAAAATAAGGACACTAAAGAATTAAGGAATCATTTTTCTTGTAATGGAGATGTGAACGGCTTTATTGAACCTGTTGCTCCATCACTGCTCCATCTTTCAAATAACCTATTGTGTTATTTAGGAGCTGCAATAGTACCAAAAAGATTACTCAAAGAGGTTCTATTGTATCCACTGCTTTTCCAGTAGTTACAAGGCATTGAAAGTGAAGAGCCTTATTCTACTGCCATTGAGGTAGTGGCAAAATCACTGTTGATTTCAAGCGGAACAAGACAGAGACTAAAAATATATTTGGTACCTGAAGGTCTTTATTTAAATACCCAAGTTTTAAAACAGTTGGCCAAAGCGTGGAAGCATATTTTGAATTTTTAAATATTTGCTAAAATTGCATTTTGAATACTTTGAATACTGTAATACTGTATGTCATGTGTTTAGTAGTGCTATATTTTAAATTTAATCATAAAAATGAGCTTAGTTTCTTCTCTCTATCATGCGTCCTTATTTATATCCTTGTAGAGCACTGGAGCCAGTGAACAGAGGCCATAAACCATATGAAATCAACTACAACCATATGAAAAGTAAGACTGAAAAGCAGGTCTGACTCATTAACCTTGCAGTAGTTTGTTTTACTGCCACAGAGGTTTTGGATCATTATATTTTTCTTTGTCTCTTCTTTCTCAGATAAACTCCCCGAGAAAAGCTTTGGAAGAAAACAAAACTATGGAGAAAAATCATTTTATATAAAGCAACTCCTATTAAAAATAGAAAAACAGTCACTTTGCACACACCCATAAAAATACTGTGCATGCAAAATCAGAATGCAAAGTAAAACTTCCCTGTTGTCAGGATATCGAGTTTTAATGGAAATTTGCACTACCTACCTTGATATTTAATTAGATAGCCAACCAGACATTTTGACACCTCAAAAACACCACTTCTGAGAAGTCTGGATCTGCAGGCTTTAAGGATAAGAAAACACCATTGTGATAGTTTAGTCTGAACATGTGAGATCATAACACGAGCCATAGGACTTCTTTATATTCGTTAGTCCCTTTTGAAATTCAGGAGCTATGCTGGATTTAAGATTACAGTTAGAGAATACCCACACCAATTGGTTCATTGATTAGTTTTCTCTGCTCTTAAAAACTTACATTTATGCCTGCGTTGTCTTTAACTTCCAGCTGCAGATCCTCCCTACAGAGGAGAGTGTACAGAGTGAAGAGTTCTCTGTTAGCTCTTTTCCCACACATCAGTTCTTCTAGACTGATAAGTTGCTTCATTGATAAGTTAAACAGATCACTATCTTTGAAAATAAGCCATTTTCCAATCCTTTAATCATTATCAGTACTCTTCTCTGTAGTGTCTCCAATTTATCATCATCCTTCTCGAACTGCAGATAACTGAATGGGGCTACTTTAGTAGCAGTAACACCACTGCCAAATAGAGAGATAGCATAACCTTGATTTCCCTTCTTTACATTTCCTTTTCGTCTGTCCAATCATCACAGCAGCTTCTTTGGCCATTGCACCTCCCTGGGCACTGCAATTCCGTTTGTTTTCTGCCACCATTAATACCCCTTATATGAGTTTCTTCAGAATCCTTCACCGCTCTATTCTTTGTTCCCAAAAATAGCAGCTTGCATCTAGAAATGATACAGCATACCTTGCGCGCTGAAGTCGCTATAGAGAAGGAATAAAAAAGCCATTTTAGAGCTCTTGAATCAAAAAGTTTGCATTTGGTAAGGGAAGCAATCCATACATGTAAGGTATTTTACAACTGTGATTCATGCTTTAAATCCTGAGCAATCCCATTGAATTACAAGAAATCTTTTGATGTATAGAAAATATTATACAATATAAAGTAATATCAAGTCAATAGAAACCGGGAACTGTCACAGTGTGCGTCTACAACACAGTTTCAGTTTGAACCAGGAGTGCACTTCTGAAATGAATTGCCCAATTCTCCCCCTTCACTGCACTTTGGTACACATAGCAGAGCAGTCTCTGCCCATGAGAACCGGTTTCCTTTTGGATGAAACTAAACCAGAGATGTGTTTCAGGAATGTATCTAAGCTGCTCCAGCAGTTACCTGGAAGGCAGCCCATGGGACGAGGCTAGAGCTAAATGCCCCAGCCCTGAGATGTATGAGGCTGCTGATGCTGGTGCAATGCAGATGTTTGTGCACCTGCACCAAGCCATCTGCTTATCTAGACAAAGCAACATCTTGTTTCATGAAATTCTTGTTTGCTCGTTCACGCTCTATACAGTCTCCTCATACAAGGGACTGGAATCTTCTTGAGGGCTTTTTACTTGAGCAACTGAGGGAGCTGATACCTGTCCAACATCTCTCACAGCCATAACCCAACCTCTGTGTAGGTTTGGCTTCTCTGTAGGAGACTTGGTCCTGTTAAGTGCTAGGTTTTTCATTCTCCGCAGCTACCTCCTAGTTGGAGCCACTATCTGTCATAGCATCTTTCATGGGAGGAAAAAGAGCTGTCCCAAACATTATTTCAGCACATCTGGGGACATACAATACTAGGAAAACAAGGAAAGAGATGATCACCTCTCTGTTCTTTCTATCCTAGACTGGCAGGGAGCCAAAATGTCTCTAAAAGTAAATTAAAGCAACATAAAAAATCTCTGTTCATTCTGAGGATCCTAAGGGACCCATATAGCTGGCTAGGCCCGTCATGTCAACCCACTAAACAGGTCAGAGGAGGGCAGATTATGTACACTAGAGCTGATGAATTATTTCAGCTTAAGCAGTAACAATTATTCATGTCCCACACACTAAACAATATATTCCATACATAGGAATTTTTCCCTAACTTATTTCTATGCAAGATTCTTGCTATTGCACTTTGGAAGAATCAGTGAATATGTTCTTATCATCTTATATAGAGAAATAAAAATACACTTGAGTTTTTTGAGTTAAGTTTTTTAATACTTATCTAAGATGCAATGTCCCTGAGCAGTGGTAGATGTACATTGATTATATAATGGCACAGAAAAGAAACTATGAATAGTGTATCCCAATAGGTAACTTCTGCTACTGTGTAATAGCATCAAAATTCCCATTAGAAATTAATGGGCTCTGGTTAGATTCTAAAGAATTTCAAACCATGCTTTGTTTACAAAATCAATCCTCTTCACCGACTTTCAAAACTTTGAGATCAAGTTTCTCACTATGGTGGGTTCTGGTATCTTTTTGGCTTCAGACTGAACAAACATAAAGATTCTAGAACATATTTACACAGTTCTATGAGCACTTATTCTCCCAAATACTGTTGTTTTACTCAACGGATCTGCTTGCACAAGCGCTCCAGAAGTTATTAAAACTTTTCAGTCTAGTCCAAACATATCAATTAAATAACATGTGACAAAAAATACCAACAAGAGGCTCAGTTCCTGAAAATATCTTAGCTGATCAGAATTCCCTTTTAAAATTATAAGTCTGAATAAATAACTAAATGAGAAAACTTTTTTTGATGCTGGGGAGCTGTTGCTCACAGGAGTGGCTCTATAGGAAACGTCATCTGAAAAATATCAAATATTGTGAAGATGTTTACAAAATAAGAATCAAAGCTTGCCACTATGGGTGTGCAAGCCTCTCCTGTCCTACCAGAAACTGTCTTACGGGACATAAGAGGAAAACTAAGCATTTGTATTCGATATGTTTCTAGGTATTGCAGGACTAGTGCCTAACACCTCACATTTCAGTGTATAGAATATCTGCATATTACAACATAAGAATTACATGCTGCAGCTGTATTCAAGTAGTCTTGAGGCAGGTACTCAGGGTAAAATACCAATTCAGTTTTCACTCTCGTATCAAAAGTTTTCATATTCATTCTCTTAAAAACTTTATGAGATTAATACATTTGCGTTTCTTACAGTTCATAAGAGGAGTACATAATTAATCAGTATTTCAGACTCTTCTGTTAGGAGAACTATTTAACTATAGTTCCATAAAAGTGAAACTAATTATTTATTTGAAAATGATTCTCTTATTCAAAAGAGCTTACTTTCCTCTGTATGGTGAGAGAACAGGAAAACATGATGTGGAGGAAATCAGAGTTAGAAACAGTACCAACACAGTGCAATGTGATGAAGCATTAAAAAGACAATGACTTTAATCTTTTAAAATGCAAAATATTTGTCTTATGATCCCATTAT